CTTACCTTGGAACAGTGGAAGTCTATTTGGCTATCTTCAGCTTTGAAAACACCTTCTATTAATTCAGTACAGCAGAATTATAAATTAATATCACGTTGGTACTTAACCCCTGTTCAAATAAATCACATAAATAAGTCCTATTCCCCAAAATGTTGGAAATGTGGAGAGTTGGGAACGTATAAACATTGTTGGTGGGACTGTAAAGTTATTAAGTTATTTTGGTTAAAAATTTTGGAAAACATAGAAAGAATAACGGAAATTAAGATTCCAAATACGCCGGAATGTGTATTGTTAAACTATTGGCCTCCTAACTCTATTGATTTTTTCAAAAAAGCACTGATAAATTCTCTTTTAACAGCAGCCAAATCATCAGTGGCTCAGTTTTGGAAGAACCCATCATCTCCTTCAATTTCATTATGGTATTCAAAGGTGTGGGACTATTTTATTATGGATAAAATCTCTACCGGTATTAATGTTCAGAATCCTTATAAAGCCTATTTGGCTTTTTTGAACAAATGGAGTACGGTACTAGAAAATATAGACAAAAATCCTATAAGTAACAATTCATTTATAAACCATGAATATTATAATATGATGAAGTTGCCTTGAAATAGTATGAAAACTAAGGCAGTTTGTTGATATGTTTGATTGTTAAGTTTTAATTGTTAAAGATGTTATATATTTATGTTGTAATGTTTATAAAATAAGAAAAATAAAAAAAAATGTTATTAAAAAAAAGGACAGTAGCAGATTCTTGGCTGAAGGAGGATTTCCCTGAGATATGCTCTGGAATCTGCCAGAATAGTATGTTTGTTGCCATCTCATTCTGGACATAGATGCTATGGTTTCATAGAAAAAGAAGCTCTCTGGATTGTATTCAGTTTTTTCCTCCTTAGTTCTGAGAACTGGGAGATATGTGCAGTTTTGGGTTTGAAGTGGCACAGCAGATTTTTAGACAAGAAGCATTTGAAGATGACAGTGTTTATATGTAGTGTATTAGCCATCAAACCTCAAGAATCTCCAATGTCCATCAACCTGTCAGAAGCTGACCTGCATGCCTCTCATTGCAAGTATCTGCAATTTTCCTACAACTACTAATACATCCAGTGCAAAGCAATGCCATTTGGTCTTACAAAAGTTCAGAGTGTTCATGAAGCAAGCAAACCTAGGAGGAAAGTAGATGAGATGGTAGCGATGGATACTTGAAGCTGCCTCAGTCAGACCTAGTGATCAAGATTGTTTACCCTGACTGGCAGTAACTCTCTCTGAGGCAATGACTGATGAATCAGTACTGACTACGCAGAAACATGACTGCTGATCCATCTTCCAGCACAGATGCCCACATTAGATCTCAGTCTTCCTAGATTTCAGTGACAGTTCTACCTTTTCCTCTGAATTCAAGGAGGAAGATGACAGTACCTTGGAAGCTGACAAGTCAGATAAATCCTTGGCCAGTATGTCTGACTGATGCTAAAGCTCTACCTACAGCCAAGGGCATGAAGATATACACAGATGGTTCCTATAGGCATCTTTTTGAGACTGGAGATAAAACAGCAGTCTCCAAAATGTCAAGACCCAGACTTTGGTTTTTAAATGCCAATGCACAGACTGCTGGCAAAGCAATTCAATGGCCTTATCATCTACACCGATACTTATAAATGACCCTCACCCACCAAATGGGAAAACACTTTGAACTTCTGGCTACCTGTTACCTGAGACACCTTGCCTTTGAAGTCACCTTCCTGGCTGCAGTTAGCAAGGAGGACAAGTGAACTCTGCATGGTGCAGCTAGGCCCTCCTTATTTGCAACTTCACAGGAACAAAGCATTCCTACACCCAGATATCTCTTTCCTACCAAATGTTGTGTTTTGGTTTCACATACATCAAGATACAGTCCTTCCAACTTACTTCCCTAGTCTGACATTGGAGACATAGAGTACAGTGCCCTTTAGGTGCCATGGGACATTGTCCTTCTACCTGGACAGATCTTCACCCTTCAGAAAACACTGGGTCACAGCTATCATCAAGGTCTGCTGTGAGATGTCCCTAAAGAGGCTGCCAGTAACAATCAATGGTCTCTCAAGGACAGTCACTCTGTCTTCATCCAGCTGGAGGATCCCTCTTTTTGAGCTGCCCAGAGTAGGCCCCTGTGCCCAGGCTTTCACCTTTATAAAGATCTGGTTGTCAGAGCATGAGCAGCTGCATTCTTCAGCAGTCCTCAACATTCTCTTGCCCTAAGTACATCTGTACCTGCCTCCAGATAAGCTTACTAATTGTTACCTATCAGTGCATAGAGATCATGAAGAAGAAAAACTAGTGGCTTACTAGTAACTGATGTTCATCAAATGCTTATCTGTGTATTCACATGACCACTGCTCCTTCCCCACAACAAATGGTTTTAACTTGCTGTGATGATACTTTTTTGAAGAATTTGAGCAACAAGACATGACTCCTCCCTGCTGGCTGTAACCAGTCAAGACAGTGCCTAAAAACAGCCTTTAGATATTTCCAAATTGAAACTATGCACGGACACAGAACCCATCAATGTGAATGCACATATAACCAACCACTTGTAAAACATCATTCATAGGTAATCAAACTTTTGTCATACAGTGCATTTCCCTTGAACCAGATTGTTTCTGACAGGCTGCTACAGCCTAAATAATAAGTTAGACCTTTCCACATGTGAGGATGCACCAGTCTACCCTCCCTTTAGGTGTAGTTACAGATCTGCTCATTGCCACCAAATGTAGGCCTAAAACAGTCACTCTTCTTCTTGAGGTATAGTTAATCCCACTCTGCGCTTCTTCAGAGACAGGGCTATACTGTCTACATCTGCTCTCTTGCTGAGGCAACCTAGAACCTATCAGCTGCTATATTACCCCTAACATTCAATCAGCTTTCTAAAAGGTGATTGCATGTTAGAGCAACATTGAAATAGGCTCAGTCACTAACAGCCAGTTTGCTGTTTCACCTTCAAGGGCTGGGCAACTTCCTGTCTATCAGATGAAAGCGCATGCAGTTCATAAGACAAGGGTACTCTTGGAGAAGACAAAAATATGCTTTGGGAACTAAAGGAAGCAAAGGATAGGGAATGGCTATGTGTCTAGGAGGGCCCCAAATAATATAAAGTTAGGATGGTTCTAGAAGCAGAGGAGTTTTTTAAATCTTAGTTAGCAAACTGAAACTTGGATAAAGGCAAGAAATTGAGGTAGCTGCCCCAAATATATTATAAGTTCTTGTGTGGTATAATTGGAGATAGTAACCGTGGCAGTCTGTTGTGGCAAAATGCCCACTTATGAGATATGGGCGTCTTGGTTAATTATCCTAATGTCAGTTCTGGCTGAGACTTGGATTTTATGGGATGCCTTGCCAGCTCTCCAGATAGCACGACTGAATCAGGGGTGGTCCTATTTTCTATGATGCTTTGTGTTCTGTGCTGACCAAAGTCTTGTTTATCTGCCTTAATGCAAAACAGAAAGGCAAGCAGATCACACAAAGGTGGCAGGACAATAAATATGTTTCCTTGGAGGCTCCTTTCCCCTTTTAATTTTCTTAGATTATAGGGTTAAACTGAACTAAAGGTAGGAGAGCAGTGTAGGAAGTCAAACCCAGATATCATCTTATGTTCCATTCAGAGACAAAGCCTATAATCCTAAAAACATTTCCCTGGGAGTAAGCACCATTGAATAAAATTTGACTAACTTCATCTGAGTTCAGGATTGCAGTCATAATTTCAAAAGGAGATACTGATTCACACTAGAGAATGATTTAGTCCATCATAGATCTATGCATACTAGTCAAATAAAATCAAGATGCTTACAGGTCAAATTATTCACAGCTGTTAGTTATCTGATACATAATATAGAGAACAGGTGGCAGAGAGAAGCTATGTTAATCCTCCCCAGTGTAAGAGTGAGGTGAGGAACCATAACTCAGAGATACAAAACTTTGTTTGTTATGTGTCCATTCTGGTGGGCTGGCACCGAAAACAGGATATTTGGACCCTGGTCCATCAGAGTAATATAATATTAGCTGTGTGTGTATGTGTGTATGTGTGAAGCAGATCTCTGATTATATATAGGAAGATTTACATAGAGAAAGATTATACAGAGATGGCATAGAGGAAAATTTATATGATATATCTGATTCTGAATATGGCACTGGGTGTGGATTGTTAAACCCAAAGATTAGGGCCATGTACAGAGAAAGGGACATCTTTCTGTAAACTTGGGGGAAATCCAGGTTTTCCAGAAAATCTTAAACTGTAAATAACAGGGAGCCTTTTAAAAGTTTTAAAACGCTGATGTATGGTTACTGCAGCTATAATTCCACACTGGAGGTTAACCAGGGAAAGGAGGAGCAGGCAAGCAGCCAAGACATGAAAGAAGATAGAATGTGTGGGAAGAAGGAAAGAAAAATGGAGTACAGGGGGAAATGGGGACTTGAGGGAGTCAAGGAAACAGGAAAGTTGAAAAGCTGCAAGGGGGAAGAAAGGAACGGCAGGAGTAAAAATGACAGGTAGAGAGATGGGAGAAAGGGAAGGACCTAGGAAAAGGAGAAAAACCGTGGGGGTGAGGGAAGGAGGAAAATAAAGGTAGATTGGGGAAGATGATCAATTGGGCATTATGAGGTTCCCCCTGCAAGTCCCCATGGATCCCCGCTTGTCAAAGATATTGTGGTATCAAGACTATTCCTACCACCCTGTATAAATATTTTGGTAATTCCTGGGTCAATGAAGACTACTACATTTATTACTAAACACTGTCACTTTCTAAAATCTTTGGTGAGAGACACATTAAAAGGAATGATACTGAGTGTAAGGTTGGAATGAACAAATTCTTTCTTGATTGCCATAAGAAATGATAAAATTTTGAATGTTTTCATGCAGCAGTGGAGAAGGTTTCTGTTATGAGCAATATGAAGTTGACTTCAGATTATGCTAGCTGAATGTATTCACCTTTTTTCTTCATCAGCATTGAGTGTTGTCTTCTCCTTAGGGCTATTTATGTCCAAATGAATTTATTGCTACTCAGGGGCCATTACCAGGCACAGTGGGAGATTTCTGGAGAATGATATGGGAAACTAGAGCAAAAACCCTTGTGATGCTTACACAGTGTTTTGAGAAAGGACGGGTAAGTAACCAGCAAATGAATTGCAAATACAATTAATAATTGGCCATTATGCATTCAAAAAGCCAGCACATGACTATTTTGTTCCATGCTGGTTACAGATAAGATGTCATCAATATTGGCCTGAAGACAACATACCAGTAACTGTTTTTGGAGATATAGTGATTACCAAATTAGTGGAAGACCATCAAACAGATTGGACCATCAGGGATCTAAAAGTTGAAAGGGTAAGGCCAGGTCTGATTAATTAAATTTTAAAGATACTTCCATATATTGTATAAAAATCATGATTAGTGTGCTCCTACAATGTCTACTTTTAATCCTAAACTCATCTAGCTTTCCTAAATGTTTATGGCTTCTTTATGAACAAACTATATTAGATGTCATTCTGCTAGATAGCTATGTGTTTCTAGACCTGTCAGTTGCTCTGCAAGACTAGAAAAGTATCACTAAGGGACCATTTTCCCTACTCCTAGTTCAGCACAGCAGCAAACAACTAGGAATGATGAAAATGTCAAGGGCTCATGGAGGTTCATTGAATCTCTGTGTAGGTTTAGCATCAAGTTGATCACTTGCTTGTGTGAAGCAGACATTATTTGTTGATGTTGTTCAGTCGCACAGTCAAGTCCGACTCTTCGCGACCCCATGGACCAGATCCCGCCAAGCCTTCCTGTCTTCCGCCGTCCTCTGAAGTTGGTTCAATTTCATGTTCGTTGCATCTATGACACTGTCTAACCATCTCATCCTTTGCCGTCCCCGTCTTCTTTGACCTTCAATCTTTCCCAGCATCAGGGTCTTCTTCAGTGAGTCCTCCCTTCTCATTTGGTGGCCAAAGTATTTGAGCTTCAGTTTCATTATCTGGCCTTCCAGGGAACAGTCAGGGTTGATTTCTTTTAGGATTGACTGATTTGATCTTCTAGCAGTCCAAGGGACTCTCAAGAGTCTTCTCCAGCACCATAGTTCAAAAGAATCTATTCTTCGGCGCTCAGCCTTCCTTATAGTCCAACTCTCGCAGCCATACAGTACTACTGGGAATACCATTGCTTTGACCATGCGGACTTTTGTTGGCAGGGTGATGTCTCTACTTTTTATCATGCTGTTTAGGTTCGCCATCGCTTTCCTCCCAAGGAGCAGGCGTCTTTTAATTTCATGGCTGCTGTCACAGTCTGCGGTGATCTGGGATCCCAGGAACGTGAAGTCTGTCACTACTTCCACGACTTCCCCTTCTATTTGCCAAGGAGTGATGGGGCCGGATGCCATGATCTTAGTTTTTTTGATGTTGAGCTTCAAGCCCACTTTTGCGCTCTCCTCTTTTACCCTGAGCAAGAGGCTCTTGAGGTCCTCTTCACTTTCTGCCATCAGAGTGGTATCGTCTGCATATCTGAGGTTGTTGATCTTTTCCCCAGCAATCTTAATTCCCGCTTGTGATTCATCCAGGCCAGCATTTCGCATGATGTACTCTGCATATATATTAAATAAGCAAGGCGACAATATACATCCTTGTCGTACTCCTTTTCCTATGCTGAACCAATCAGTTGTTCCATATCCGGTTATATTTATTATTATATATTATTATTATATAAATAAGACATTATTTAGATATATATTATACATTTACTGCATTTATATACTGCCTTTCTTTCATCAGCAGCCTGAATAGCCCAGTTTAGCCCAACCTCAGCAGAGCTTGGAAGCTAAGTACAGTCATACACAGTCAGTACTTGGACTGGAGACTACAAGGGGACACCGGGGTTGCTGTGTAGAGGAACACAATGGCAAGCCACCTCAGCTTAATTCTTGACAAAAGCCCATGGTCCTGGGGTCTTCATGAGTTGGTTATGACTTGACAGCACACAATAATTATAATTATTATGCTTTCCTTTACTGAAATCATGGTGGGAATACACAGGATCACCTAGAGGTCTCCCATTGAGGTGCTAATAGATGTATGCCTGTTAGGTTCAACAAGTCTGCTGTGTCATGTGCCCTCCAGCCATACCCTGATACAGTATTACAGATCAAAGACAGAGATTTTTTCCTGCAGTCATGCAAACTACAATACTTTTTATTTAATGCTATATGATACTGAATGATGGGATATCAAGTAAAGAATGTATACATTTTGAATTAGCCCTGGCTGCTGATTTTATCCTTCCAAGATCATCCAATTAAGGGCATGCTTCTCAGACAAAATGGCTTGAATAAGTTTCACTAACAAATTTTACTGGAATTTATCCCTGTATAAGTGTAAACACTCAAATCATAGGTAAAGGTTTACTGTGAAAATTATAAAACAAAAATCTTTTATTGTTCCATCTTTGCAAGCATGGGGATTGTATGATGGTACGCCAGTGTAACTTTACTGTGTGGCCTGAACATGGAGTACCAGAAACAACTGCATCATTAATCCGTTTTGTAAAGCTGATCCGTGCTAGCCGAGCACATGACAGTACACCCATAGTTGTTCATTGCAGGTAAGTGGAGATTTCAATAGAAAATAACAAGACTAAATAGTAATGATGTTACCTGGAAACAGGGCTTTTTTCTGGGGGGACGTGCCAGAATGGAGTTCTATAACTGAATCAACAAAATCCTTTTAAAAATATTTAGAAGTTTTTGGTATACAGATAGAAAACTTCATTTCCCTCTTGAGAGTTCTGACACCTCTTTTTTTTTTTTTTTAAGCCCTGCTTGGAAAGCTAGTAATACAGAGGAATACTCTTTCACAAGCGTATCTCCAGATTTTGTGGGCAAGGGCAATACATCAAGAAGGGATTTGGAGTATCAGAAAGTGAGGGAGGCAGCACCTGAATTCTAATCTTTATAAAACGTATAAAAATAACAAAATACAGAAAAAATGTGGGTAGGTTGGAAAAGCCATCTAAAATACAAAATTAAGGGAATTAATGAACTATCTGTAGCTAGATGGCCTATAAAATCAGATGATCCCTTGTGGAAGCCATCCCAGTTACACTAAATGTTTCCTCCCTTCCCTTGGGCTAGTCCAAAGTTAAGAACATAAGAGACACCAGTGTTGGATCAGGCCAAAGGCCCATCCAGTCCAACACTCTGTCACACAGTGGCCAAAAATACCAGGTGCCATCAGGAGGTCCACCAGTGGGGCCAGGACATTAGAAGCCCTCCCACTGTTGCCCCCCGCCCCAAGCACCAAGAAGACAGAGCATCACTTGCCCCAGAGTCCCTATCTATACCTTGTGGCTAATAGCCACTCATGGACCTCTGCTCCATATGCTTACCTAATTCCCTTTTGAAGCCGTCCATGCTGATAGCTGCCGCCACTTCCTGTGGCAGTGAATTCCATGTGTTAATCACTCTTTGGGTGAAGAAGTACTTCCTTTTATCCGTTCTAACCCGACCACTCAACAATTTCATTGAGTGCCCACAAGTTCTTGTATTGTGAGAAAGGGAGAAAAGTACCTCTTTCTCTACCTGCGCTATCCCATGCATAATCTTATAAACCTCAGTCATGTCACCCCTCAGTCGTCGTTTCTCCAAGCTAAAGAGCCCTAAGCGCTTTAACCTTCCCTCATAGGGAAAGTGTTCCAACCCTTTTATCATTCGAGTTGCCCTTTTCTGCACTTTTTCCAAAGCTATAATATCCTTTTTAAGGTGTGGTGACCAGAACTCCACACAGTATTCCAAATGAGGTCTCACCATTGATTTATATAGGGGCATTATGATATTGGCTGATCTCTTTTCAATACCCTTCCTAATAATCCCCAGCATAGCATTGGCCTTTTTTATTGCAGTCACACACTGTCTCGACATTTTCAGTATCTACTACGACTCCAAGATCTCTCTCTTGATCAGTCTCTGCCAGTTCAGACCCCATCAATGTGTATTTATATTTAGGATTTTTGGCTCCAATGTGCATCACCTTGCACTTGGCCACATTGAACCCCATTTGCCATGTTGACGCCCAGTTGCCCATCCTTGACAGATCCCTTTGGAGTGCCTCACAATCCTCACTGGTTTTCACCAAACAACTATCCTGTATTATGAATGTCCAAAGAGGTGAAAGACAGATTCAGATCAGGGAGATTAGTCTCTATCCTGAAGTATCAGTAGTGGAGAGGCAATCTTGGTGATCAGATTGAATCTTTGAACTAAGCCTTGTTATGTAGTGGTGGAGGAACAGTCTGGGATGGAACTGAACCCAGTTTGGTCATGAAAGGAGGCCATAGGCATGGATGCCGTGCAGATTTAAAGGGTGCGATCAGACATGAACATCTGGAAAGCACCCCGCACCCGTCAGCAGACCGTTTTGCTCTGCCACAAAAGCGGAGTAAAAAGACACCAGGGAAAGTCCTGTAGCAAACGGGTTGCTACGGGCCATGGACGGACTTTCCCCTGCCTGATCACTCCAGTGCACTCTCATGGCGTCGGAATGGTCTAATCAGGCCATCCTGACTCCATGCCGTTGTCCCCCCCCCCTTCTTAGTATGCACATCATTGCACACTCCATAGGGAGCCCTCAGTGCTGAGATGTGATTCAGCGATTCCCCGTTTAAGCGCATCAGGAGCAAAAAAACCCCAACCCGACTCACCCGGGGTTGTGTCTGATCACTGCAGTGGCAGGCTGCCCCCACAGCTTCAAAGGATTGTGTGATTGCGCAACTGTGAGTCAAATTCCTCCAGAGGAAATAGCCTTGCTCTCCCCCCCCCCCCCCCCCGGCGTATCTCCCGTGTCCGCCACCTTATTGTATTTTTCCTGGGTGTTTACTATTGGGGCAAAATCCTACTGGCTGCATTTTTGGATCCTCTCTGCCCAGAATTTTGATGAATCCTCGGAGCCAAAGACTGGGGCTATTGGCAGGGTATGTCCAAGCTCCCAAGGGAACTTGACTTCTCCCTTGTGAGTCAGTTTCCCAATTGCCTGTAGCTCAATATTGCCATTGGACCTGTTTTATTTCAGTTGTGGGAGGTCCAGTCCAAAACCCAGCAGCAGTTGTACATTACTAACAGTGGCATAGAGTCAGTTTTGGGTTTATAAGGCAGCAGTAGCAATGGTTGGAATGGAAAAGCTCCCTGTTTCCCTCATTTGCATATTGGTTGCACTGGCATAATGATATACTATCACACCTTGAAAGTAACCCTTTCTATACTGTGCACACTAATCCTGTGCCATCTTTTTGAGAGACAGTGTTACCAATTGTTAAGGGAGGTTATGGAGCCAGTACACTGTAGGTAGATGTTGTGGGTGGTACTGGGAACATTTGCAGCAGCCTCTTATCTGTGTGGGGGCATTGACCTGCATCCCCAGTTAGAGACATGGAGTACCTGTAGTAGTTCTGAGCAGAGCACAGTTAGCAATATGCTGGTTTGTTCTCCACCTTGGCTGCTTTAAAAAATCTGGTTTTTTTACAAATACCATTTATCTAGAGTTCCTATTATCAAAGTTCCTTTATGTCTCTCTCTTCTCCATGGTGTTCTAAGAATCTCCAACATGAGTCCAGAGAAATATAGCCCCATGCCATGCACCCTGTCATCTGAGATGTGGTTGTACTGGCAGAACCAGCTGCGGTGTAGTGGTTAAAAGTGCAGACTCTAATCTGGAGAACTGGGTTTGATTCCCCACACCTCCACATGCAGCCAGCTGGGTAACTTTGGGTCAGTCACAGTTCTCTTAGAGCTGTTCTCACAAGAGCCATTCTCTCAGAGCTCTCTCAGCCCCACCTACCTCACAGGGTGTCTGTTGTGGGAAGGGGAAGGGAAGGTGATTATAAACCACTCTGAGACTCCTTCGGGTAGTGAAGTGTGGTGTATAAAACCAATTCTCCTTTGTATTCCTCTTCTTCCTAAGCTGCACTATGGCTGTGCCAGATGTGTATGTGTTTTTCCCCCTTTCCCATTGGGATCAATTGTCCTGCAAAGTGTTTATACTTACACCACCTTTCACTGGCATAACATTATGCCAGAACTGGGGCAGGATGTGGACTGGGGGGTCTTGGGGTGCCAGTATTGTACTGGCAATTTAGGAAAATTGTTTTATGAATGATTTTAATTGTATTTATATGTTTTTTGTGTAAACCACCCTGAGCCTGCTTCGGCGGGAAGGGCAGGGTATAAATTGAATCAATAAATAAAGTTAAGTCCCACTCCTCTCTGGCCCTAAGCCATCACAGTGGCAGTGTAACACTATGCCAGTGTATCTCCATGTTATGCGGTGCAGGGACTTAACCTGTAGGGCTGCCAACCTCCAGGTGGGCCTGGATTTCTCCTGGAATTACAACTGATCTCCAGACTACAAAAAATAAGGTCCCAAGGAGGAAATGGCAACATCAGAGGGTGGCATCTGTAGTGTTATATCTCTGCTGAGCCTCCCTCACCTCCCCAAACTCCATCCTTCCCAAGTATCATCTCCAAATCTCCAGTAATTTCCCAAGATGAAGTTGGCAACTTTACTATAACTGGTTCCAGTTTGACCTTAGAAGTGCATCCTTAGACTTACATGTGCAATGATTAATTCTCCATTTGTTCTTTGTAGTGCTGGAGTTGGAAGAACCGGAGTTTACATTGCCCTTGATCATTTAACACAGCATATAAATGACCATGACTTTGTGGACATATATGGACTTGTAGCTGAGCTGAGAACAGAAAGGATGTGTACGGTACAGAATCTGGTAAGCTATTTTAGAGCCTACTCTGTAGCATAGCTCTCACAGTCAGCAGCTGAGAGGGTAAACTTGTCTGTGGTCTTGGACTGCACCACTTCAGAACAGCAGATAGCAGCTTGCATGATGGAATGCTGCCCCCTTGAAAAAACATTGCTGCACATAGAACACTGGCATGACAGCTGGAGGGCTGGGCCAGGGCAGTCATGCTTACAGTATGGAATGTAACTTTCCTCCTTGCTGAAAGATAGTGCAAAGAATGGGCATTCTCTTTTATGGCTCCTCTATTTCTGGTATCCATTCCTGAAAACATGATTCACTTGGTCTTGCCATCCAGTGCTGCAGAGGAGAAATATGTAGATACCAGTGTTCCCTCTAAGCTGAGTTAGTGTGAGCTGGCTCACAATTTTTTAGCCTCCGGGTCACACGTTTTTGTCTTCGCTCAGGAAGGAGGGCTCCAGAGCAAACTAATTTATGCAGTAGCCAAATGGCTCGCTCACAACTTTAATGCCAGTCGCTCACAAAGTAGAATTTTTGCTCACAAGACTCCACAGTTTAGAGGAAACATTGGTAGATACCAAATTATTTTAAATAAAATAAAAAACAAAAGTCATGCTGATGTGATGTGTCTGGTGAAGGATTTCATTCTACTCTTCTACACTGTTGTTTTATACAAATCAAGCTAGGTGAATGCTCCTCTCATTGGAGTGGACTCCTGCTTCTCCATTTTTTGTGGTTGGATTACAATCCAGATACTATTTGACAGCCAGTAAGAGACACGTTTGATCTTTTTTTTTTTGTCTTAACTTTACTGTTACATACTTACTTACTACTAAGATAAGAGCCCTATGCAGACACTATATTGGCATTCTGTTCATGCAGAGTGGGAGGCTGCCAGCTCCACTTTTGGGTGTGCAATACATTCAGTTACTGTATTGTGTGAATGCATGGATTTTCCATGCAGGTACTCTCGCGTTCCCCCTTTGTCCTCGGAGTAGCGCCCCCGGTGGCCGTAGTGCCGCGGGACTCGTCAAGCCCTGGGGAGACGGGTGGTCCAGGAGGCAGGAGAGTTCAGGGAAAAGGGGGGATGAGAAGGGCCTCAGACTGGCAGGGGATGGGGTTAAGAGCACCCTGAGTGTCCCTCTGCCTACACGCTGTGACAGTTGTCCCTTGCTCTCTCTTTCTCTTTCACTCCTGTGCTCTCTCTCTTTCCAGCAGTCCCAGCGTGCCATCCTCCCCGGCCCTCTCGTTATCCCGCCTTTTATTCCCCTTGCTCCCTTTCCCGGACCGCCCCTCCGCCCCCTCGATCTGGGCCCCTCCCTTTCGTATAAGCAGGAACGCCGGCAGGGCGTTCCCCAGGTTTGCACTGGCACGCCAGCGGCGGCTTTGGCGGCCTCTGTGCTGCACCGCCGGTGCCATTCTGCTGTGTCAGGCTCTCAGGGCTCGCTCCCAGCCCGCTTGCCTCGCCGTCCGGCTCTGTTTCCCGGCGATATCTCCTCGAACCCCGACCCCGTCCTCTGGCGCGTCCGGGGCTGGGCGTCTTGGATGGGGCCACTCCTCCCCCCTCCCCCGCCGGATGGTCGGGCTGCTCCGTTTCCACGGGTCGCTTCTCCTCTGGTAAGGCGAGTTGTTGGGCCCCTCTGCGGGTTGTCGGGGATTCCGGGGTCTGCCGATTACGGGCCACGACCCCCGGAGCGGGACAGGTACAATTCCCACTGAATGGGAACCCTTTTGGTTTACATGAAGAGACTCTATTCCCACAATGAAAATCTACATGTGCATACCCTATTCATGCGGTACAGCTATCATGCTCCCAAAAATATGTGGCTTATGGCTTCCCACTTTGCATGAAGGAAACACCAATGTAACAACAGCAGAGTGCTATAATAAAATACAAATTGAAATATATAATCCTGCGCCAGACCCCATATAGACTGTTCCAATAGGCAAAGTCGGCCTTGAGTTTAAATGTATGCATTTTACTTTATTTCACAGGATATGTCACAGCATTTTACCATCAGAAGCAAGTTCTCCATTCATCAATCATATCAAACATTTTAAATTGAGAATTTGGAGTATAAATATTTTAAATAAATTATCTGATTACCTTTTCATTTTCACCTTTCACAGGCACAGTATATATTTTTGCACCAGTGTGTTTTGGATTTGTTGACAGTTAAGAGGAGCAGCCAGCCAGTATGTTTTGTAAATTATTCAGTACTGCAAAAGATGGACTCTTTGGATGCCATGGAAGGTAAGCAAATTTATCTTATTTTTTTATATAAGAAATTGTATAAACCTCCTTTCAACACATGGTTCCCAAGGCAGCATAAAAAATTCAAAGTAAAATACAACAAATCAACAAAGGAATCACTTTAATGGATCGCTTAAGAACAACACATTGGTAATATAACCATAACAACTGGGGATGAGTTCTTTTCTGCAGTTCTGTTCCATTTAGGATTTCTTCTCTATTCCTGGGGTTTTGATTTGAAGAAATTTTGTTGAAGTTCATGGATTTCATTGGAGGAACCTCAGGAGTGAGCAGAGAATGATTCCATGCCTTTCTTATGACCCACTAGCCCACCCATTTTTCCCCTCAGTGTCTGCGGAGAATTACAGTGATTCTGCATGAGTGTCAAGTTGGAGCCCAGAAGTGCATATTTGTGGGCTTTCAGAAAAGTGCCAGGGTTGCTTCTGAGAGCGGAGAAATACATACTTCTGCTCATGCTTCTGTGTTCTCAGAAGTGAGTCAAGCACTTGGAGGACCATCTCTAAGCACCAAGAATTGAGTCTTGCATTCAGACTTGGTTGGACTGTTCATCAGAAGGCCCTTGGAACAGGGTTTGATATCATGAGCAGTCTGAAGGAGCTGGGAACCTTTTTTAAATTACAAAATCCAATATAATCAGATTTGGCAATGATCCCTAATAAAAACCAAAGCAGATCTAAATGTTCCTTTTATTATTTTTAACTTGCAAAGGGCAGTTGTTTGACCATATTTCATTAGTAGTCTTTGAGAAATGTCACTTGGTCTATGTTTTCTGCATCCTACTCAAATTGGCAGTTAGTGAAGTTCAGCCTGTCTAGAGTCGTAAACCTAGAGAAGAAACAAAGAAGTATCACTCCATGTTATACTCCCCCATTAATCTGGATAATCCAGAAAAGATTAAACAAGGAGTTGCAATGGTGCTTGTCAAATAGAAACCTTCAGACAATTCCCATCATCCTTGCTTTGCTTTGTGCTTAACTATCGCATGCAGAGGTCATTTCGGGGGGGGATCACGGGGGATCGCAGTCCCCCCAGGTGAGGTGCAGGAGGGCGGGGCACATGATGAAGCCCCGCCCCTTCTTCCGGCCGCCCCCTTCTTCCAGCCTCATTCTGTTGCAGAAGGAGGAAGAAGCAGGAGGGTAAGTTGGCGTCCTCCCCCTCTGCGTGGCCGAGGCCACTCCACGTGGCCTCCGCAAGGACTCCCAGCCCCATCCAGGAGCTTCCCCGAGGTAGCTGTGTTAGTCTGTTGCTGCAAAATAGTCCAAGTTTTCAAATAGCACCTTTAAGACTAACAAATAGCACCTTTAAGACTAACCTTTAAGACTAAGACTAACTTGAGTGGTTGGTGTGGCCTTACAACACACTTCCGGTGATGGCAGGGGGTGTGGCCTTATGACACACTTCCGGTGATGGCAGGGGTGTGTGGCCTCATGACACACTTCCGGTGATGTCAGGGGGTGTGGCATATGCTAATGAGTTATGCTGATGAGTTCCTCTAGCTCTTTTTCTATGAAACGACCCCTGATCACATGTAACCTATTGCATTCTTAAAAGCTGCAATTAGTATTTCTATCTGTTTCTTTCATAGGTGATGTGGAACTTGAGTGGGAAGAAACTACAATGTAACTACTACAAGGATAAAACTTGTTACATTTCCAGAAACAAATGGTACTTTTTAACATCAGGGGCCAAAACAAACCCCCTTCTTACAATTAACTAAACACAAAGTGCAAGTTTTTGTAAAAACAAAGAGTTTATGTTCTATTTATGTGCCTTCATAAATATTATAAATTATTAAATTATACTTTTGTACAGAGTGGAAACCTATTATTGTACTAATCATTAGTAAAATATGATTAATTGAAACCTGAACATTTAGTGTTGCTTTTGTCCTCTGGATTTAATTAGAAGTCAGGCTGGAATTCTATGTTGCAAGGCAGGCTTAGAACGGCTCCATGTCCTTTTCTCACTTCTTCAAGGTAATATTTGGTATGATACAACATGATGTGACATAATCCATAATGCAAAAGTATCACATCATGTGTTATGTTTGTCTAAGACAGTACTGTAAAGAGTCATGGATCAGCAGCAGCCCTTGAGGTTCCTTTGCAACTCATACTGTGCAGCAGAAGCATATTTGCCACTGTATACATACCTGAAAGTAAGTTATGGCCAATCCTGGCTCTCTTTGGGGTGGATCTCTATGATAACTGTATTTTCAAACAAACACTTGCTAATTCATACTTCACCCATTCAAGTGTATACATAAAACATTGTAGGCTCTAAGAATATAGTGGTTGCAGTTGAACATGCTGTAAGTACCCTTAAGTCCATTAATTCCAATGTACTCAAATATGCTTAACTCTGTGGCAAAAGTGTGAAGTGGCCCTAAGTTGTGACTAGCTTTCTCTTGATTGTGCCTACTATTCTGAATTATGCAGTACTATATACTTTCATAAATCCATACATAAGCAAGTCATTTCAGAATTGCAGCCAGGAGCCCTAATCCAAAGAAGGTGATTCACCCACAGAAGCAAGCTTCCATGCACATTGGGAACTGTACATCAGAATGTGAAAATGTTGTATTGCTTTCAAGGAGATTCATATCCAGGTGCACATTCAAATTCACATTCACCTCCATATTTTGATGTACACCCCAGTGCACAAACCATTGAAAGTAACTGTCATGATCTGGGCTGTGCCACCAGAGGCCTACTAGGCCCAGGGAGCCTGGGTAGCAGTAGGTGAGGCTGGGCCTACAACTCCCAGAAGCCCCTGAGAGGTTTTGGAGCCAAAATTGACCAATAGGAAAAGAGGAAGGCTTGGAATAAAAGATCTGGAGCAGCAGGAAAAGCTGTTCTTCTTCCCAGAGGGCAGAGCCAGAAGGAAGGCTGCTGTGGGAAGAAATCCTCATCCTGAGGGAAGGGTGAGTAGTCTAGTGTTACTTGGAATAGTGAGCTAGGGACAGTATATATTTAGATGCGTTAGGGCATTTGATTTCTTTTCACCCACGTACTGTTATAATTCTGCACCTTGTTTGTTTGACCTCTTATAAAATAAAATAAACTATTTTCATTGTTCACTCTGCCTGGTCCTCACGCCTATTATTCAGCCAAAAGGGAGGTCTAAAGGTCTTGGGAGGGTGCTCTGGGCCTTCTCAAGGGAGCCTGGAACCAGAGTGTTGGCAGCGTCAGGTGACACCCCACCTGAGCCGTGACAGTAACAAATGACTTCCTCATTTGGATGTGAATCTAATTCATGTCTGATGTTACTTATATGTATATGGAAGCATGCTTCTGAGCATGAACTACCTTTTCTGGATGAAGGTATGGATCTTTCAAAAGTTTTAAACACACAAACATTCAATTTAATTCAAAATGACCATTTATTAAATCTTAAATGAGCCAAATTTAATGTAAAGCATTCATATTCCTCAGGTGTACATAAGTTATCTGTGTGAATTTGCTGTACTTTTTGTTGATGGTTTGTGTGTGCAAGCTGCCATCCCTCAGTTGTACTGAATTAGCTTAGTATGGAAGCTATAGTAAATTTAGTGGATGACCTGCAGGATTATCACAATAACATTTCCTTAAATGTATTGTCTTGTGTTTTGTCTCTTTGTTTTATGGATCTTGGAATACCATCTTATGATCCCAAGCATCTGAAAACCCAACCCCTGTCATTGTGGTTATGAGTTGAATGCAGTACACCATAGGTTTTCAAGGACACTTGCCTGAGGCAATGTGTGACAAACAGAAGTTGTTAGAGTTCTCATTCTGTTTTTGTAATGTATTTGGTTATATCTCAAGGATGAAGATAATGTGTCACAATCCTGTTACATTTCTTATGCTGAAAAAAAGAAATAAAGTTTTACATTTTTTATACAACATAATTTTTAGTAATCTGTTATATCCTGAATACCAGTGATTCTCAAACTTTTTTGAAATGGGACCCAGTTCTACACCTGTCAGAGACAGGCTCCTTCAGCTGGTGGAAGGCTTCAAGTTGCTGGGCCCCTGTACTTTTCGGGTCCCACTTGCAAATAACTCCCTACTACTTTCCCGTTTCCCCAGTTTAAAACACAAGAATGTCATGTTATTTAACACTGAACAAGGTTATTTTTTATTTTTCATATTCAGTATTTAAGCAACAAGAGGCTAAAATCTTCTTCGTGGTCTCTGTGCATCACACTTCTGGGATATAGTGCACCTGCGCCGACCTCGATCAGTACTTCTTAGAAAGGGAAAGGGATTTTCACGCCCGCTCCCCAGTCACGCAACGGCCCCATTGCGCATGACTTGGAGAGGGGCATGACAATCCCGCCAGTTCTCTTCTGACCACCGCGCTGGTAGGATCTTCTCTGCTTCGGTTGGTAAATTTCTGGCTTTACAGCCTATTCTTCTTCTCTTCAGTTTTTTCTTTTCCTGTAAAGTGAAAGGACAATATTGTTATCGAATTTTGTTTTTTTCGGACTTTTGTGTTTGGGTCTTCCTGTTAGGCAGACCTCTTCTCTCACACACACACACCGGCCTATGGCCAAGAGGTGGGGTTTCTTTAAATGGTGCTTCAAGTGCGGTAGTAAAATCGCCCCCCCCCCCGATGGACACTCGCTTTGCCTTCTGTGCCTTGGGGAATCTCACTGAGTGGACTCTTGTGCCCATTGCGCGAAATTCTCGAAGCAAACGAGAAAGAACAGAGCTGCTAGACTTCGTGTCACACTTTTGGAGTTAACACTCTCACCAATGTCATCATCACAGGATACTTTGGGACATGCATCGATGTCGACACCTGCCTCGGCATCGACAGCAACATTGTCCCTGATACTGACTCACTCAGATGTCGACTGCCCGATGCTGAAGCTCTCAGCCCAGACATCTCAGTCCGAAGCCCATACTCCCTCCAAAAAACACAAGGAGGGCAAGGACGACTGGCCAGTCAAGCACAAGAAGCATAAGAAACCCCCCTCAGTGCAAACTCCGCTGACCCCTCGGAGGGCCACAGAACCTAATCCTGTTGGGGCTGCTTCACTTGACTCCACGGGCCATGAGCAGCAACAAGGTGTACCCCTATCACCTTCGCTGCATCCTATCCAGCTCACCAACTCTGAGCTTGATATGGACTTAACACAGATCTCCCGGTCTTCCAGTGTCGAAAGCCTACACTCAAACCATGGAGCCGGCACCTTCCTGCATCCTTCACCTCTCCGACCTGACGATCGAGACCGGCCATCGGGACCAATCCACCCGCCCCTGCCCCTGTGGGATCAACGCAATGGCAATACATATATGGGGCCTATCCCTTCACAACCGGCATGCCATGGTTCCCACCCCAACCAGTGGAATGGGATCGTCAATCCACTTCCGACTTTCTCGGTATTGAGATCCTCTCCCGATGCCGGAGTTTGTGAAACCCCAGCCATCGAGACCGACAGGCAGAACAACCAAACCACCACCCCCGATAGCCCCCAAGTTTAAAGATCCATTGGAACCGATCCCGTCAACACCGATGCTGCCTATTTCTTTTTCCGACATGTGAAGAGTAGCCCAGGTTGCTGCACAACAGATGATCGTCGCTCACTGACATCTGTTGTGCAGCAACCTGGGCTACTCTTCACATGTTTGTGAAGCATTATGCCTTGGATGTGCAACTTCATTAGCGTTCTGCGATGGGACGGGCAGTGTTACAGGCAGCGCTAGTCTAGGACCTTCAGCTCCCTCCTCCAGGTAGGCTTGTTTTTGCTTGTTAATCTCCCAGAGGAGCGATGCACAGAGACCACGAAGAAGATAGGCAGGTTGCTTACCTGTAACTGATGATCTTCAAGTGGCCATCTGTGCATTCACACCACCTGCCCTCCTTCCCCTCTGCTTTCGGTCCTTTTGTTCTTTGCTCTGAGACTGATGGCAGCAGTCAGAAGGAACTGGCGGGATTGTCATACCCCTCCACTAGTCATGCGCAGTGGGGCCGGCACATGACTGGGGAGTGGGCACGAAAATCCCTTTAGCTTTCTAAGAAGTACCAATCGAGGTCGGCACAGGCGCACTATATCCCAGAGGTGTGAATGCACAGATGACCAGTCAAAGATCATCAGTTACAGGTAAACAACCTGTCTTTTCATGGCCATTTTGCACATTATGCAGAGGCAAATCCAAATTTGTCACCAGACTTCCCAGAACCTGCTCGTCCAGCTCACCCTATTCCTTCTCTTCCTCCTTTCTGTTGTTGCAGCCCACTAGGGAGAAGTTACAACCTGTTTGGCATTTCTGACTCTCAGCTTGAGACCCAGTGTAATTCTTGTAGTTGTTTCTTTGCATAGTCTGTACAAACTGAAATTGTAGAATTTAAGCCCTATGTGTATGCCCCTGATAACTGGGATAGAGTCAACACACATACAGCACGATAAGCATAAGCACTTTGTCCACACATTTTACAAAGTTGTTACTTATTTGTTTGTTTATATACCCGATTCATATCCCACCTTTCTGTCCATCCAGGGCCATGCAAATGGCTAAGAGTTGCTTTGCAAGAGAGCCAGCATGCTGTAGCGGTTCAAGTGTTGGACTAGGCTCTGGGAAACTCAGGTTCGAATCCCCACTCTGCCATGGAAATTTGCTGAATGACTTTGGGCTGGTCACACACTCTCAGCCTAAGCTACCTCACAGGGCTGTTGTGAGGATAAAACAGAGGACAGGAGAATGA